TTTCTTTCAATAAAAGATGCCAAAACTAAAGTTAGCTCAACACAAGCAACTGTACATGTACTAAAACTGGCAAAAATTTGGATTCAAATCAGGGACGAGATGAAAATATAATATATACAAGTAATTCAGTGCCAGCTTTCAGCACATGATAATTTAAGACTTGGTGTGAAACATGGTGGAAACCCAATATTTACCTTAAATTCCCAGCCTTAATATTAATTGTAAAATAAATGTACATAAACTAATTGTTGCTTGAAGACGTGTCTGACAGCTGCTGAAAGAGCGACTGGTTGAAGCTGCGGAGACTTGAGGTGAAGTGGCAGCGAACAGCTGCATCCTGCTGAGCCTCACAGATACAGTGCAGCACGGTAGCACTATGACTGATGTCTGTGGTCTCTGCACCACTTGACACCAGATTATTGCTCTGTGGTTTAATACAGCCACATGCCATAAAGCAAAAGTCACACTGCATGCAGGGATGAAACGAGGGGACGGCTCAGCCCAGAGTCCCCTGCATTCTCCTGTCTCGTCTCTCATCTGCTCACTGCCTCTCTGTCTCTTGAGTGCATGCACTGCTGAGCAGGCACCACACAGGCACGCAACACACACACATCCCACAAAGCCTCTGGGGCTCAGGTGCTTAGAGGTGAATAGAATAATATGGTCATGCTCTGTTTTAACTCTACGTCAGCTCAAGTTTCACAACTGGAGGGTTCTTTTACACAGTCTCTTTTCTGTCCTTCCCTTCATCCATCTGTCAGTTACTCTGACCTGTCTTCCGCCCTCCTGCAGCGAACCTGGCAGCGTACACCTGTTCCAGCCCAGGTCGGCCCCGCTGAAACCCTAACCCACCATCAAGACGGGGAGAACTGACAGAGAGGTCAAAGGTCAGTCAACAAAGGAGACGTAGCACAGCCTCCAAATGGCCTGAGAAACAGTGGCCAGGTTGGTAGATCTGAAGCCATTTACCAGCATCCACTTCTTCCCCCATCTCTCCTGCATTACTTCTCTTACACTGACTGCACAGTCAACAAAGCCATGTTCCTGCTGGGCACTTGGTCATGACAACCAAACAATATGTGCCATTTCTTTTGTGAGTTTAAGAATGAATTTGGAAAATAGGCGGAAAGCAAGTTACATGCAGTTAGTACATGGCATTCATGCAACGTGTTTATTTCACACAAAACAAAGTCAAACACACTCGCCCTGAAAACATGAGTTGCATGAAGCAGGAATGATTAATTTCCTTTCTCCGGGGCTTTGGAAAAACAAAATCTGATTTGAAGCTCTTACATGGATTCTCTAACAACTCTGCACTTTGAGTGGATCAAGGGTCAAACGAGGAACAAAGCAGAAACAAATCAAACATGAATCCAAATGAGCCATTTGAGAGAATTACTGTTCCCATTATTTATGAATCCAACATGAAAAAACTGGCAAAAGGCCTGGTGGTACAAACTAATTCCTGCAGCCACATTCACAGTCACACTCATACACACCATCCATAATAGGCTTGGACACACTGTGCATATATCAGCAGTGCACTGTATTCATAATTAGCTGCGGGTTTGTTCAACCTCTATGAACCAGGATTAAACTTTGTTATGCTTGAATGTCACTGACCTGATTCCTGTGATGGAGCTAAATTCAGTTTCCCCATTTCCTGAGGTTAAAGGTCATGAGCAAGGTGAGACTGACATGAACCTCAAACTAGCTCAACTTTAATCCATATCTTCCAGCCGGCACAGCCCTGCAGGACATTCTCTGTTAATCAGTCAGTGTGCTATAGAGCTCACAAGGACCAACACTGCATTTATATTCATAGGCCTCAGTATTTATGAGAAGGTGTTAGCACTGGCGACTTTAGCATCAACAAACCACATGCAACTCTAAGATCCTGAAATTGGAAAAGATTTGTTGATCTAGATCTGGATGACACAGGAGCAGTATGGAGGCATTTTATGTTTTTTCAGTTTCTGGTCACCATTTACTTCAGTTGCATTGGATGTGGCTCAAACGCTTCACCCACCCCTCCATCGGCATAGTGGTTTGTAGATAATGAGTTTATTTCATTTAACCCTAACCCATGTGAACTATCCCTTTAAGCTGCTGGCTCCAGCTACATATTTACTGTGCAGACATGAAAGTGTCAATCTAATCCTCAACAAGAGAGTAAACTAGTAGTTTAGTGTGCTCCTGCTTTTTTGTCAAGGAAACCTGAGCCTTGATGCACCTCCATGCATATTTCATTAAAATAACCCAGTCTTTTTTGGCTGCCATTCAGCACGAATGTCAACTCTCTCATGGTTCGGCGACCACAATCGAGAGTAGCCTCTTAAAAAAAAATGGTATCAAATGACAGGGATTCTGTCTAAACTGTGACTAAGGGGTCTAAGCTGTTCCAGCTCAGCCACGGGTGAGGAATTATAGTCCTTTCAGGTCGCAATAACTCCAAGCTACCAACTCTATACAAACCTACTTATTGTTACTGACACTCTCCTAACTTTTTCATGAGATGGATTTATGATTTATGACACAGGCAGAAAAAAACCCCACATTCAATCTCATCAGCACACGTGAAGAAAATATGAAATTCCATTTACAGACTTAAAAAAAAGGATGAGAGTGAAGGTAACTGGCTGCATGTCTCCATCAGTCTGTGTTGACAGAGCCGCTGAGGAGCCACTTGGTTACTTTGAAGTTGACTTTCTTTATATCAAACCTCACCACAGTGTCCAGCCACAATAACCGTAGTCTACAATTATTGAATCCAGACTGTCCGCTATTCACTATTGGAGTCACTCCCTTACTGTAATTTTTAATTATGCAAATTAAATAGGTGAATTCCCTTGGTGATGGAAGTTGTCTGCGCATTTTTTAATCATCTGCTGTCTAAATAATAAAATCAAATGCATCAAAGGTGCTTTAAAAATTTTTTTGCAGACAGTAGCTCAAGGACATCATTTCAGGAAATGTATTTTGTGGTTGAGCCTTGCACAACACCTCGTCAACTGGAATAGTAAAAGTAAAAGTATTTATAATTAGAATACCATCGCAAAGGATGTGTATAAAGGGTAATGCAGTCATATGTGTTCATGTTGCTCTTGAAATGAGGCAGGAGACCGAGACATGAAAGAGGAGAAAGCATGAAAAATATTAAATTGCTATAATTGGATGTGGATGTATATAGAAGAATCTCAAATTGTATTTTTTTTTATGCTGACCCAGTGATTTTGGCCCGAGAACAGAGTTGTGATGAAGCACAATGTGAAGGGAAAGTGCCTTCACCTTTACTGCAGGACATTTGGTAAGCAGGTTCCTTTAGACACAAACAGGAAAACACAAAAGCTGTCTGGCAGACGTGTGTGTGTGTGTGTGTGTGTGTGTGTGTGAGAACAGTGAACTTTCCCTCCACTAGACTTCATGTATGAAAGCACATTCTCTCAACCCAAACAGTCTTCCTTGAATTTTTATCTACTCGCTACTACTACTGTATTCAAACAATAAGTTGACGGGCAGGGTGAGGGGGGAGAGGGATGTCTGGGGACCAAGCCGACTTCCTCTTCATTAAAAAAAAAGAAGTCTGGCGGATGGGGAGGGAGGGGAAGTACGACCTCGGGTAAACAGTCTCCGCTTTTTTTCCCATGACAAACGCAGACACAACACTGGCCGGACCCTTGCAGGTATAGCATGATCCCAGACACATCCAGCGGGCCACCTGAGTCCCCGCTTGACCTTGTTCACTCTGCAGAGGAAGCAATTTGGAAACGATCGCCCACAACTGCATTCATCCTATGAAGCCTAACAGGTGAGCAGCCGAAACTCACACAAAGACAATGGGTTTATTATCCCCCAGCTGGAGGAGACCATACCATAACCCTGGGACAATAACAGCCACCCCAGAATTAAGGCTCAATTTAGCCATCAACAAGTGCGAGGTAGGGGAGGGAAAGGGGGCCGCTCTCCTCTCTTTCTCCAACACTGAGCACCTGGTGAAGGCCACAAAGTACTGCTGGAGGGTCCCACACTAAAAAGGGGAGGTCGGTTCTCATGGCAGATAATAGCAGCTAAGGGGAGGCTTAATGTGTTCCCGGGGTGGACTTACCTGATACCTGAATATAGATCTGATATGCTCGGAACAAAGATTAGACCACACATACAGAAGTCTCAAACGCAGAGACCCAGGTGCTTCAGAAATGCCCCCTTGTCCCTGATATGTACCTGTTCTTGTACCAAAGTCAGGTGCCGTAGGGTTTGGGGGGAACCTTGGAGAGCTGTAATCCAATCTGAAGTGGAGACTCTCTAAAATGGGACAACAAAGGAGGACCGACCCCAGGGCAGACCCAGACCTCGCCACAACAACAGCAGGTCTGAGGGCCTATATTTAACAGCGGTGGGAATTGTTGGAGCAGCCGCACAGGAACACTTTCAATGCACAGCGAAGGTCGACTGGGACTGGACTTCCTCCACAGTCTCCCAACGTAAGCCGCTAGCCTCATTTTCAAACCCCCCCCCCCCNCCCCCTCGACCACCGACGCCCACACACCCCACCCCACCCCCACACCCAACAGCAAAAATAAAGAGATAAGCATTGTTTGGCCAAACAATGGGCCACTTTCAAAGTCCCAAAAGCTTCCATTTTCACATCCAAGGCCAGCATTTGAAGTTGAGTATGGCAATAAACAACTTTTGCAAGTGGATGGCGAGAGGTTTCTGGGTTGGAAACAATCAGGTGGATGTTCATGGATGGAAAGGTCAACGTTAAGAGCAGGTGCAGGTGGGTGAGAGAAGCCTGAAGACACAAGCAGCTCTACAGAAATGCTCCATCAGAAGAGTCAACAGTGACTTTAACTTTCCCACCTGTTGACTTTCTTGACTATTTCATCAATAAATACTGTAGAACCACGAGGCTCCTCGTGTGATCTCAGTATTTCAAACTGTAAGGTCTCAGGAAATGGATAGGGATTGGCCTGAAAGGAAGAAAAAAATATTTCACCAACCTTCAGTGAGTTCTGGTCAGCCAGTGCCAGCGCTTGCCGCCTCAGCTCAGACACTTTCTTCTCACACTGCGGGCAGAAGCCTCCCTTCTCCTCCGACTCGCTGATGGAAACCGACCCGGCGCCCTCGGGGGGAGGCCGGCTGCTGCACCGCGCGTCCTCCGCAGAGTGAAGCCTTTTCCTGGGGGTGACTGGGGACTCTCCACTCGGACATCCCTCCACCTTACAGCATGAACGGGTGAAAAGAAAGTTTGGTCATTAACAACTACTACTCGGGTTGAAAGAACAGGGCCGCGTGTTGCTTCCTGGGTAGAAATTGTTTGTTTGCGTCTTGACAACCTGTCTGAGCACCTGTCCAAGAGCGCACCGCACAGATTGTGGTTTTTTAAAGTTTGGAAACCAGCATGAGAAGCAAATCACCCTTCTTCTTTTTTTTTTTTTTACACTCAATCACGTGTAAGACACTTACAGAGAACATGCGGTTGCTGGTGTCGCCTCCATCAGGAGCTGCGTTGCCCCCAAACGAGCTCATTTCTCCTCCAGATCAAGGTCGTACCTTCGGGGGGGAACTCAAAGGTTTCGCCGGTGAAAAACGCGACGCGGAGCCATAGGCTGGATGGACCGAGGACCTGACTGAAGGTTACCGGTCATCTGTCAGACTGTGCTGGGAGCAGGAGCTGCTGGTCGAAGGCGACTGGAGAGTGTGTGATAAGTTTGCGCGCAGCGGAGGAGTTTTTTTTGGCACAGGAGAGAAGTCAGCGGTGCGGGGAGAGGAGGAGGTGTTACTGGAGGAATGGGAGGGCTGCAGCTGAGGGAAACTTTGCTGCGCACGGTAGTGGGACTACATGAGGGTTCAGAGTTGTTGTTTTGCCATGGATCAGTCTGAATAAGTAATGTAGTGCATTGTGATAGAGTGTATTTCACATTAAATATACTTTTCTACACATTTCCTCCAGGAAAATCTAGTTTCACACTATCTGACAATAGCCAAACCAATTTCTGCATCAGCTTTACCAAGCTCTTCAATGGAGCTGTGATGTTTACACTTCATCAAATGGAAACATCAGCTGTGGCTTGTGCGTAATTGTTTTGCACATTCCCCAAAATTCAGCCTGAAAGGTCTAATTTTTGGATTCCCACTAGGAATTAATGTTCTATGGGTCTGAACATAAACTCATCATACTCCCTGACATTTTCCGAACATTGTTTTGCATCAATGTGATGAAGATGATTAGATTGAGATCATTTAAATTCTATTAATTTTATTATCAGAATTGGACATATCAGTTTACTGATAGAGAATTCAACAGTTTCAGTTTCAGGGCACATCAGCAACTGTTGCAGCACTGCCCCTTGTGGTTGTTAGTGGGACTCTAGCACCATCCTCTGGCGAAACCACGGAATAGCACCTCCCTAAGTGGAAGGGTGCATGGAGGTACTCAGGTTAAATATTTAATTTGGTAAACTTTGAATATTTCATGGGGATGATGTAAGCGACAGTGGCCACATGCGCTCCTGCTCTTGGCATCAGAGACGGGTTTGTCTCTCTCCCCTGCCCTGAATCGACCTAGTTTAGGGAAACCCACTTCAGGTTTAACTAAATTATGGACAAGGATGTTAAAGGAGTGAATTAAAAAGTCCACAAGATCCAAAAAGATGATAAATTCTCATTTAAAAGCAGTTTTTAAGGTGGGCTCAAAACAATCTTGATCCAAAAAAAAGATGTATTTAAGATATGCAACGATCAACAAATGAACGAAAAAGATCACAATTAAATAATAATCAAATAGTTCAAAACGTGTTTTCGCTTATATATACATTTATACTGCTTAATTAATTTCAGTTTCTGTCTTAATAACCCGATTTCTGGCCCATTTGCCTTTATGATGCATTTTGGCCAAATCCCAGCAAACATAAAAAAAAGTTTAGACTCTTCAATCCGCTTCAAATTGTTACAGAAGTGTTGAATGCGTCAGATAAAAGATGAGTGAAATGAAGGGATGAAGTTTAAGATGAGAAGAAGAGATGGAGGATGCTGCACGGTGCGCCTCCAGGTCCTGAGCACCGGACAGGAGCCGTCAAACGCGCGTCATTTGTCGGACTTGTCACTGTTTCCCACTGATTTTACATTTACGCATGAGCTCATCCTTTGGAAAAGACGTGTTTCAACGATCTCCGTGTTCTTACCTTTGTTTTTCTCTTCAGCAGGTGACTCGTAAATCCAAATATGATGTCGGAGTCAACGAAGATGGTCCCCAGGTCGATGACGCCGGGGTTGGGCTTCCCAGCTCCGAGGGAGCCAGGCGAGTTTGGCAAAGCCATGTGGGGTGCGCGTGTAGCCTAAGAGAAAAATATATTCCACTCCACAGGAAACCTATCTGAGCTGTACATCCATCTATCTCATATCTGTCGCGCCCTCCGACGAAAAGATCCGCAAGGCTTTTTAATCCGGACATCCAGTGAGATCACGGTGCGCGCTCGCACGTGTGCGTAAAACAACCCCTCAGGTTTCCAGCGGAGCGGAGCGCGGAGACAATGCAGCGATACAATCCATCCGTGCGCGCAGACAGCTTTACATCCACTCACACACTTGTTTCATGAAAGCCACTATGCATGGTGCAGGTCATGCTCTGATGTCTGCTGCAGGAGGCGCACCTTGTGCATCTGCTGCTTTCTCCCCTCTAGCCTCTCTCTCTTCTCCCCCCTCTCCCTCTCAGTCACTCATCCCCTCTCCCTCCCTCTCTCTCTCTCTCTCTCTCTCTCTCTCTCCTCAGCCCCCCTGTCAGCCTGTGATGACCTGCTCTCCCACCCGATTTGCTGGCAAGAAGATAACGCAACAAAACACAATGACAACACAATGACAACCCAGGCATGTATATAACGACAGCGTCCCTGTAATATTCACACTGTGTGCGTGTGTGCACGGTAATGACCTCATCATGGCTTACTTTATGGTATCCCTGCCTCCTATGTAAAATTCCTGGGTGTATTTATTGCACTGTATTTTGCACAAGGGAATATCAGACAGCTGAGAGACACTTGATGTCTTATTTCTGCAACAGGGATGAGGCCTCTCCAATCAAATTAAACTGACTTCATTCGGATTGATTTTAATCTACTTTATTGCAGCAGGTTCCAGGAAAATCTAGTCAAACTAAATTTGACTTTTGAAACAATCATCCAACATTGAACAAAATCCCATGTGTGACACCGGAGAAACGTGATGATTGAAGATGTTTGTGCCGCTCAATAATTCAACTGTTGTGGGGGATTCAGTCAGTGAGATCTCATCAGTCTGGTCATTGAGGAGCCGTCACCATTTCCAGCAGGCTGAGGCTAATTATGCCATATTGACTGGTCGAGACCAGCAGGTATATTGTGCAAGATTCAGGAGAACCATCAGTTTGATAATGGCAGAACTAAAGAAAACCATTTGATGATGTTATCAGTGTTAAAAGTTGGTCTGGCTCTGAGTCCACAGAGCATTTTGTCTCCTCAGTTTTAATTCATGGAGTTGAACCAGTTTCTCCTGAAGCTGAGCAGCAGACTGATGAGGTGATGTCATCCATGTGGGACTGCACGTCCTCACACTGTGAACTCATTGACTCAGTGGTGGTGAGATTTTACTGAGACAAATGTTTCTGTTCTGATTCAAATGATTTTAAAAAGTGACAGCGCAAACGACAAACAGTATGTATGAACTATACTATACCATGCCACAATGCACTTACCATACTATGCTATACTATACTATACTGCACCAAATCACACTGTACTGTACCGCACTGTATTATACTACACTATACTAAACTAAACTATACTATATTATACTTTGTATGAACTACAGTATGAACCAGCACTCTCTAGAGCATGTACCTCTGCCAGGGCCTAACAGTCTCCTTGTAGTCAATCTACCTACATCAAATTTCATGCACTCATTGATTTCAGGTCCTTAAATTCCCATCATTTTTTAATATGGATTCATTGATATTTCCCAGGGAATTTAGTGACAGTGTATAATCTGGATCCACACCAAAACTGAACCTCCTTGATGTAGGTAACCAGAGTTAAGTGCTCTTGGATTAAAGGGATATTCCTGTGATTTACACTTGGAGGACTCCCAACAGAAAATAACTTTTTGTCCTCGGGCTTTTAAAAACACAAGCCTGTTTGTTAGTGCATTTCTGCAAATTTTCAGTTTCCAAACCCAAAGAGGAATATCCCTCGATGACACCACATCATCATTGTAATGTCCTTCACGTTTTTTTAAAGAATCTTTCACCAAAGCCATAGAAAAGTGTTGTCACAGTCTGACCTGTGGCTGCTGCTAATGAGGAGTGAAATCGATGGAGTGGCCCTTCAGCTGAACAAAGAGAGAAGCTGCAGGCGGATTATACTCAGGGTGGATTCTCACTTTATTCATTTCACACTGTTGGTTTGGTTTAATCCGCTGAAGCCAAAACATTCTATTAGAAGTTAGACTCAAGAGATTGTGTAATTCATCCAATCAGACGGGTGTTTTGCAAACTTTAAAGTTGCACGTCCTTGAGCCAGAAAGACATGTTTTTTTATTCTTCAGCGGGTCAGAGACGATCATTTAAAAATAAGACAATGATGCTGTGATGCCTGAGCAGAGGGGGGTAAATAATAAATATTCTAGGCATGAATAAATTACTTTTGATCCCACAAACACCTCACACACCACGCACGTCACCACCACCCCCTCCCTGTCTCACTCATACACACAAGGACAGACACACACACACTTTTTTAAGATAGGGTTGAGGCAGAGGGGGTTGTCTTGTCAGTGTAGACCAATAATTACAATCCATAGTAAAGATGATTTACCACGTCCGTCACCCAGCACTTCCCACTGGAGAAGGCCTGGGTTGGGTTGGGTTGGGTCTCCCCCCCCACCCCTCCAGCCGCTGATGAAATTCGGAGGACGTGGATCCCCCTGGGACGAGCAAGTGCTGCTACATCTGCTGCCCTTGTGCACGTACAGGGAAATCGCTCAGGGCATCTCATTAATGCCTCTCCTGTGTCTTATCCTCGTGCGTGTGAGACCTCTGCAGCTTCTCCTCGTGCACGGACCAGGCTTTGTGAGAAACGTTTAGCAAATATTGATAGTTCTCTGTGCACGGAGGGAGATCAAAAGGAGAAAAGGAGAAGGGGGCTGTCTAAAAGAAGGAGAGAGGGGGGAGTAATCGGTGCACGGTGCTTCCATGAATGATTTACGCAGTAATAAGTAGCCTGTGCTCCTTGGAAAAATAGGGCATTTGGATTTACTTGTAGAGGCTTTGGGTCAAGTTTTCCCACCAAACTGAATGTAAAGTTTTAATGCAGGTCTTTAAAGTTTAACTGAGTCCACATTTAGACTTTGAAGTGGCTCAGTAGAGAACAAGAGACAATATTTGTCATAAATCAAGTTAAAAGCACAGATATTTTCCCCAAGTTTCACTATTTATCCTCATTGACTAAAGAACAGTCAGTGCTCTCCTCTGGTTTGAAGCACAGGATGTAAAATGGCAGCAGGCGCAATGATTTTCCAGAGATTTAAGTTTCAGTACTTTGGACAGCAACCGTCCCCACAGACTTAAAATCCACCAGCCCACACAAACTCAACAGAGACAAATGGTTTTTTATTGACTTGTTTTAATCAGTACCTCTGAACAGTAACAACAGTAAAACAGAGAGAAAAAACAGCAGCGTTAGTGCATCAGCAGGGCTGTTAAAAATTTTGTGTGCATGCCAGCAGAATGAAATTACTGAAGCCTGATGATTTTTTACAACCCCAACACAGTGGCTGGGATGTAGCAGTGCAACACAAGGGGGCACAATGAGAGAGGAAGACAGAGAGAACACAACTCACAGTTTGACATGAAATGATCAGAATCCGGCCTTCTCAGATGTTTTCCGACAGCAGCATTGGTCTGGCTGGTCAAGTGGTCCTAAACATTTCACAATTTTCTCTAAGAACTGTTGAACTGTTGAGAACCACTTAATCAGCGAGACTACACAACATCCTCTGGGTAAAAAGTCCGTCTTCCACACTACTGCTGAAAAAACAGAAGCTGGAATTAGACTCTGAGATCATCTGGTGGTTACAACACAATAAACAAATCAACACAACAGGTTTCACCGACACAACGCAACTTACTTGCAAGAGAATAAGTCCACAGGAAAACAAACTTCGGCTCTTTGTCCTGAGTGCTCAACTGGAGAAGGAGAGTCTTCCTTGGTGCCATCTCAGCCCAGACTGAGTGACTGCAGAGTTCCAGCTCTTTATATAGTGTTTTGGGGCTAGGTTCATACAAGCCTCTCATTCAGTCAGGAATGAGACCCATGCTGGTCTAACCGGACGAGCTGGGTTCCACCAGCTCCACAAGAGCACGAAGGGACAGCCGCCCTCAAGACAAGAGACTTCAAATACCAGGCTGAAAAAGTCACATGGACGCGAGGAATTTTATGTCATCTCTGATTTCTGGTTTAAACTCTTCATTAATCTCAGTGTCAGATTTGTAGGAGCTAAAACTGATGAGTGTAAAACCAGCTCCAGTTTGTGTCTGATGTGTTTCTGCTGAAGGCCAGATGAAGCAATCCAATTATTATTCTGAACCCATTTCTGTGGAGAACACAAAAGACCTACAGAAGCGGCCTTCCACCATTGGGCGGACGTGCACTTATTCATATAGAAAATCACAAAGTCAGAAACTGCTCAGAAATCTTTAGCCAGGATGTGAGTTTCATACAACAGGAGACGGTGATTTCACACAAGAGATTTATTTTCCATTGGAGAAACACACAACTGCTTTACACATGCATTTTTTAAACGCACAAAATTGGGACAATAACAGCACCTTTCAAGTAATTCATAAGTATTTGCAACTTAAAGTCACATGTAATTTTCTTACATCAAAGCGTGAAAACAAAATAACATTGATTGGTTTAGATTAAATTATGTCAAATCAGAGAGCAGCACTGTTAAACAACACTTACTTGTACAAAAAAAACAAGTCATGTTTGTGGTCACACACACAAATAGAGGAGAAAATACAAGATAGAAAACAGAAACTGTCGTGGTTTGACGTTGGTGTCGATTAAATTTCTTCTTTTACATTTCAAAAGAGAGATGTGACTCTTCCAGCTAAACGATCGGCACGAGAAACAGGCTGGATGAGTCTGGAAGGTGACAGCAGGTTTTTGTTATTCCTGTTTGAGCAGACGGAAGTGAGAATCTCAGCTTCGATACTCGAGAAAACACTTTAGACCCGAGTCAAGTGATACAGTTGGTTCATATTCCAGAAAACATATTTTCTATAAAGATATTTCCATCATCTTACTATAAAAATAAGCATAAAAATAAGATCTGTGAAGGTACCCTGTGCTTCTTAAATGTCATTTATACATTGCTGTAGAACAGTACGACAATACTCAATTAAGTAATGTGCCCTTTTTAACTTTGTTTGCCAAAAAATTAATTTCATCGTCATCCTTCGCTGTTCATGGGAAGTTTCAGCGGTCTCCATGATAGAACAGCTCAGGTGAAGCTCTGAATTCCCTGACAGGTCGTAACAATAACTGAGTCTGTTGTTCATGGACGTAAACAAATAAAAAAGTTAAAACATTCAGAATGATAATACATTTCCTACGTACAGTATGTACGTACACACACTTATGGTTGCTCTTCCTGGACAATGGTTAACTGGCTTTCGTGTGAGCAGTGATTGGCTTTCAATGGCAAAAAGATCAATTCAAAAATAGACATTCAAAAGTGAGTGCAACTGTGACATTCAGCAGGAGGGTGGACAGCGTGTGCAGGACGGCTCGGGGAAGGAAGTGGTAGCAAACGCAGGACGGCTTCCTGTCGGTTGAGGCAGCGTCCCCTCACAGTGCTGACGGCCTGGCAGTGAACTCAATCACTCCGCCGTCCTGCCAGGGACAGGGAAACCAAATTAATATGAAACATTGGTGAGTGGAGAGGTGTTTCAGCACAAACACACAAACGTCACAGGTCACTTTTGGGGACATTACATTACAGAACTTTCCCTGGAGACTAAGCTTAATCAACTACTGCAAAATCATCAGTTTTTAAATCTAAATTGTGTCCCCAGAAGTAGCCTATGACAGAAGCACACAAACACACACAGGTAAGCCTAAAGTGAAGCCAGCCGCAACGTACAGCATTCTCCGGCATTTGTGTGCAGCCATTAATTGTGACCAGATTTTTAAGAAAATATTTAAAGACAAGTAAAAATCTGTGACAAAGAAATTCAGTTTATTGAGCTTTGAAAAAGCAGAAAGCAGCAGGTCCTTATGGTTGAGGAGTGGGAAAAGCAGTAAATGCGTTTTTACCTTCACCAAGGACTACACAAAAACAAGGTTGTGGTATGGGTCAGAGAAGAACATATCAAATTATAGTGTGGATCCAAGAATTTTCATTTTAATCTTCACTTATAGATTTTTTTTTAATTTTTTTTTTTACTGCTTCCTTCCATTCTGTTTAAAAGCTCCTGCAAAACGGATTTATATTATTTGTTTATGTATATATTTAATACATTATTATTTATTCACATATGTCCTCATATAATACTGACATTCCAATATCTACCTTGGAAGAGCTACTAGGTTGCTGAAATTATTCTCCCTCCGTTCATTTTAGCATAAGAGATGAAGGAAAACCTTGATCTGTGCTGACGTTGATTTTGTAAAAGATGAAGCTGCGACAGTCACTTCAGCCTAAAAACACTTTTGGAAATGGCTGCCTGAAATTTCTGCAGCTTTACAATCACCTCTACATAGAGTGAGGAGCTCATTCAGTGTCACGTCAATATTGTTTGAAGACGTGAAGAATGTGAACAAATCTTTTTATACATTTTATTGTGTATTTTTTATGTTTTAGGTGAAATACAATGTGGGGGACTAGGGGGTTATCATGCAAAGCATGCAGCGGTACACTCAACACCTATACACCAAAAATGGAGGGACTAAAGGCTCGAAGTGATGTGTACAAAGAAGAATGGGAGCCATGCTTGTGGGGGTCACTATGGGAAATATATAAATAAGGAAATGCACAAATTCACACTGTCACATTTACCTCCTCATCATCCTCATATTCATCATATGAATTAAATTCACCAAATACTGTCTGAAATTAAACAAGACAAACATGTAATTAAGAGGAAATTATAGAGAGAGAATCGTATCAAACGAGAGTTACAGTCAAGTTAAGAGGAAGTTGTGCTTGTTTGTCATGAAAGAAGAAGATATGAAGGAGCTAGAATAGGAAACAGTGATCACCTGGTGTTTTTTGTTCAAGAGCTGATCTAAAAACGCCAATGCTTCAGTTCTGCCGACAGCCTGGGCCTGGTGAAGAAAGAATAAGAAGTGGTTTAATCCAAAAATTGTTTAAGTTATTTTATTAACGAGGATTGTGTCCGCCCTGAACCTACCACTTGAAATGCCGTCTGTCCGTCGTAGCCTGGTCTAGTCAGGTCTGCTCCGGCAAGGCTCCAGATCTCCAGGCCATCCAGGTCACTGTTGGCTGCCAGACTGACACAGGAAAAGACAGAGTTATTACAGCAAAGGGTTCAGTTTCCTGACATAAGCATTATTAACACAATTAAACTGATACTGGGTGAAGGACAGATTGTATAAAGAAACATGTTTGAGAGACTGGGCAGCACTTCAGGGAAAGAAATCAGTAACGTTGGTCTTCATGGGTCACTGACGTTTCACTTCTTTCTCAAAATTGACAGGAGCCAAATTTCTACCTTACAAAAGGCGTGTTTCTGATATGGTTCATTGGAACAGATTTGACTATGCTTGTTGAGTGTTTCATCCAGATAAATAACCGGGGCCAGCCAGCATTGTGTACTTGCCGAAAGTAGAGATGCAGAGCAGATCCGAAACTATGCTGCCTGGGAGCATTCCTGCTGTTTGTGTAAGAGTGGGGCGACTGGTTGTCAGCTATGTAGGATAGGTCACTGTGTGCACAGCCGAACAACCGTGTATGTGTGCGATTGTTTGGCGATATGCTTCCCGTGTGTCTCACCTGCACAGTTCTGCTCCTGCTTCCTCCAGCTTGTCTCTGGAGAAGTGAGCTCCGGTCTTTCTCAGAAGCTTCACAACTTCCTTGTGTCTAAATGAATTATTAGAGGACATGCAATGTAATATTACTGTATATTTAAAACATAAAAACTAGCACCAAGTCACTCAGTTGATACCAGCTGATAAACCTGTTTAAGGAACTGTTCAGAAGCGTCACTTCAGTATCATGTTGTTTTCAAGCTTTTGAACTTCATCACATTCTAAACTATACTTTTATATTTTCAGCTTTGATTGACAGAGTCAACATGGCAGTAGTGGCAGTTTGGCGAGTAGGAACAAGTTCCTTATCGCCCACAACGAACCGCCCACACAGGAGACACCTGCAGTGACATTTGCAGGAATAAACAATACAACAAAAAGGCCTCAAGATGTTGATCCCTGAGCTGCTGCGTTTATCATTAAGAGCTGACCTAGGTCATTTATACAAGATGACAATTTAATGCTTGGCTGTTGTGAGGTGTGTAGAGTGATTGTGAGAGAAACTATAAAACGTTTAGTGTGTTCAGAAGCCAGTATCTCTCATCCGTGAAACTGGGAGTAGGCTGGTAGGACTGGTTTGGGGGACACTCCCCACATTCGTTCCTTAAAACCTTTTCTCTCTCTCTCTCTCTCTGCCACCCCATATATGGACATCAGGCTACAGTCGCTAAAATGTCGGTGACAAGTGCGTCAGACATTTTGACATCCTGGTAGCAACTCAAAACTCCAGTTGGGTTACTTTGTCTTATTTCGTTCAATACTTTTATGAAGGCCATAGTAAAGGGTTCACTGCAGGAAGTCTACCGACAGGTGTTAGTGTTAAGTGCATCCCTCTGCCATCGCAAGCGAAACAAGTCCACACTTGCAGTTAAGCCAACCGTTAAAATAGGACAACAGCCATTTGGCACAACACATACAACGTTTTCACCCTGTGGCTCCACGTAGTGCCATAGCAGAAACATTAAACATGGCTCTTAACGCATAGTCAATGAATGACACAAATTTAAAATCAGCTTTGGTAAAAATAAACACAGTCTATATTGTGAGGTGACAATTAGCCTAATTAGTTTGTTGCCTGGCCTCTAAACTCCATTACGAGTTGCATCCCCTTGTTTCTCTCTTGCTCTCTCTCTCTCTCTCTCTCTCTCTGACAGCTGCTGCTCCCCTTCCTGCACATTTCCCACTTTCCTGCTCTTTTAATGAAGTCTCCTCTATAGGGGCCATTAACAACATGTTTGCAGGAAAACTCCGATGACTATGAGGAATAACAATGGTTGCTAATGGCAAAAAAAGGGGGATTTTAAATGTTGTGTTTGCAGCTTACATGACATAATTAGCTTAAGAGACAGATAAAAACCATCATCGGCTCTTACTGTTTCAAACACAGGGCAGGTTTACCTGAAGCGTACAGCATTGCATAAGGGTGTATCCCCGTAGCGATCTTTAGCGTAGACTGTAGCTCCATGACTCAGAAGGTACTCCACCACATTTAGGTGGCCCTCACAGGCCGCGATGTGTAGGGGTGTACGTCCGTCATAGTCACCGAGACACAAGTTGGTGCCCTGTGAGAAAGAAAAAGAAAAAAACACCACTTTATTTCATCTGGTTGTTAAAGAGCAGGTCTGGTGATGGTTCACATTTTGTTTATGATCAACAAACAATGATTTTATCCTATAAATAAGAACCAATAAGCTTTTGCTTCCATAACATTCTTAAACCATTTGACCCAAACTACTGCACTGGGTTTCATGTTCCTTTATTATTATTACATGTTCCTTTATAAGTATTAGAATGAAACCAACCCACATACTGTCCTGCTGTAAATACGGACTGGTGTACCCTATCTGCAGTTTGAACAAAACCCTGCCGTGCAGAGCTGTTTAAAAGCAGCACTAGAATTTAAACTTAAAATGAAACTATGAAACCAACAATCTACCGAATGAGAAGCCTTCGGGTTAAATTCATCACAAATTGTAGGTTTGAAAGTGGCACATTTCGACAACAGATTTCAGGATATCAAAGGAAGTATCATTAAATCAGTCACCACAAACTGTCTAAGCAGCGACTGCATACCAGTCAAGCCACATACAGGACATACATGTACATGTGACTGCTCGGATGACTCAGGGCCTGCCTTACCAGTCGGGCCTCATGTTTTGTTTCCCTGTGCACCTGTGTGTTTGCTCCGTCCTTCAAATACGGAGAGAGTGGCGCTGGAAATGCATCAGTGTAAATGTTGACATGAGGTTGAGACTGAAAAGCCAAGCATGCTTCAAGATAAGCTGCTCCACTGGTATAAACAATTAGCACTAAGCTGTGTTCAGACTGTCACAGCAAACACTGTGTTGAGCTCAGAAGGCAGATTAACCAGTTTTTGATGAGAGTAGGTTTAGGCTGAGGATATTTTTCTGTAAAACACTTTCCATTGAAATAAATCAAACTTATTTTAAGGTGTTTGTATGAGAGGTTTGTTAATACCAGTGTAGTTAAACTGGACATGCGTATGAAATGGACTGTAATGTTGTACCATTTCTTTAAGGGCTTCTAAAGCTTCTATGTCTCCAATCTTAGCGGCAGCACAAGCCAGTGGAGGAGTCAGAGCGTCACGAATGGCTTCCAGCTCCTGGAGACATAACAAAATATCATCAATAAAGCGTTGAACAAGCTTTTAAATCCTTTTTTTTTTTTTTCAACATATGCATGAATCTAATAACGACATTTCAAAGGAAATGTCTTCAATGCAAGTTAAGCTATAATGAAAAGAACTGCTCTGTTAGGACTCATGAGGCTGTTGGGCAGTGGCGTCCTCACCTCCTTGCAGCTGACGCTCAGAGACTTGGCGACGGCCTGGATAAAGCGGCTGTCGCTGAGACACAGCTTGGCTCCCACTAAGTCGACGCTCATTTCACCTCGCAGGTTCTGACCCATCAGCTGAGACAGAGTCACAAACATAAGCACACTTTTACTTCATTTTTTCTGATTCTCCAAAACCTGTATTTGGTTACGTATGAGGACACAGACCTTTTTCTTGGCTTCTAGATCAATGTCCGTCTTGGCCAACACATAGGACAACTTTGACAGGGCAGCCTCTGGAGTCATATCACCACCAGCTATCAGCCCTGCTTCCATCAACACCTGAGAAATCATGAGAATGTGTTATCTGTTAAATTCTTTCTTTCTAAATGGTTTTGAGTCGCTTAACAGATCAGATTCTCTTATTTTTATTTGGAAAATGAATCACAAAAAACACAAAGGTTGTGTTTTTTGACCAAAAGGTGAACATGAACTACCATTCCAGTGGCGTATGATGCGGACACGGTGCCCCTCAGACACTGAGTGCAGTTCATGATGATGACACCAGAGGCAATGGCCTTCTTCAGGTCCATTATCAGGTCAGGACGGTTATCGGGAGCGTTTCCGCTGCCATAGGTCTCCAGGACCACGCCCTTCATGGGCGGTTGCAGGAAAGCTCTCACCTGGAAACGGACACCACCACAGTTTCATATTATAAACACCCACAATTTATGACTAGCTCAACTGGCCGCTCAACTGTGTAGAATCAAATTGAGGAATTAGTATTCCATGTTATTTTTCCTGCAGACCCTTTCAATCCAACGCATGCGACCATCCACTCCACTAAAAAGCCCATCTGGCACCACCTACGCAACCAATATCTCCATCACTGGTTGGCTGGCAGAGAGAGGCCCTATACCACATCATTAGCCATGGCTTATGACTAGAATGGCAGATGACTGAAATTGCAGTAAGGAGAGCAATTAATCTGAAGGTGTTAGCAAGCATAAAGTCACTTGGCAAGACCACGGCAGTTACCATAAAACGTGAGGAGAAGGTGACATTATCAGTGCCGGGTACAGTCTGTATTTTTTGATGTGATAAGCAGTTTGACAAGAAATGTTTGACGCAGATTACCAATGAAGCGCTCACAGAGCAGTGGCGGACGGGGAACACGAGAGTCTGGTGCCTTATCAAAACAGTGCCTTACGAAGGCAGTTAAAAGCTGTAAGGAAGTCTTGATAGCCGAGCTGGGCAGCGACAGCAGATTGAGACAGTAAAGTCGCCCTCCCAGCAGCCGCTGCAGGGGGAGGTGCAGCTAAATGTTACAGTATCTGTGCCAATCCTCCCTCTTTACAGGGTGATTGGTCACGGCCCATAACTCCTTCTCATCTTTCTCTGGGCTGAGCTTTGATGGCAGTTTACATGACTGGCAAAGTAACAGAAGATGGGTAATAGCACAATTAAATTAAACTTAACTATATTTTATTGCAGTTTGGAGCAGTCAGTTGCCTTTGAAGAACATTTACTTAATTACGTTTTAATACTCAGGAGGGAAATTATTTCATTACAACACGCATGGATAAAAATATATGCATGACGCTGTTAAAGTCTTTAATGTATCCCTTTCATCATTCGACTCAATTTAATCTTGTGCTGACTTGAAACTGTATTTACACATAAAAAAATGGACACATTACTCGCAGTAGATGATTTGAAACTTCATGCAAATATCAAGGCAATAAAAAGCATGGGAACCCATTGGAACAAACTGATTTTCTGCATTACTTGTTCATGAAATGTGATCCGATCTTTATCCGAGTCACATGTAAAAGACAAACACAATGTGCTTAAGCAAACACGCGAACAGCTCTAATCTTGTATTTTTTAACGGAACCATTTACACATCAACAGTGCTGGTGGAAAAAAGGAGATGGTAAACCTGTGGATTTCATTACTGGTCAAAACCTCCTTTTATATCAAAACAGGAGCTTCTAGTAGCTGCTGTCAGATATGCAAGAGGTTCAGGAGGAATTTTCATTCTTCCAACAGAACGTTTTCAGCTCAGCCATATTCTTTGGAATCATGTCATTACCTCAACCAAGGAAAATGTTTTCATTTGCTTTTGTTTGTCTACTTGTTATTTAGCACGATAACGCAGCTGAACTGATTTCCATTACGTTTTGTGGAGAGGTGAGGAATTTTCTGACGAAGAACCCATTCTGTCTTAAAAAGGACTCAGGATTTTTTTGTAAACTTTCTTTTTTTAAACGTTCTTTAATAATGGTGTGATAAGGCATTAACCTAAGCGGAGGTATGTGCTCTACGAGTGCCCTTCCAGTTTTGTAGTTATTGTTACTTCAGTGTTTAGTGACATTGTCCTGGTGCATCACCCAGCTTCCACTGAGCCTCAGCTGATGAACATCCACACTGTTCTGTTGGGTGATGCAAGGACCAAGCAGCTCTAAACATTATATGTGACAGACAGAACTAGAATGGCACTAAGTAGAGCACATATCACACATATAACAGTTCTCTTTTTGAGACCACATTTGAATTCTCTACATTTTTCTTTGGACCTGCACTACATTGTACAAACTCATGAATATCCATCCCAAGAACGTGAGTTTTTTCAAGATCCATTAACTATTTTCTGAGAAATCAGTGACAATGTTGAAAAACACCTCACAGAGTTAAAGAGAAAACAAGTCCTGACTTACAGTAGCAGAAGTGATTCCTGGGAAGAGCCTGAGCAGGCCAACGTTACGGTTCAGCTCAGTGCTGACTTGAAACTTTACTTTGGTGCTTGGCCTCCAAACCGTATCCCAGTTGACTGTAGGAAAGATGGAGAAGACGAATAAGATAAAGTTTATCTGATTCCTAAAGACAGGCCCACTCTGATCCCTGGCTTACTTTTAATATCCACTTCAACAATGGCCAGTGGAGCAAGGTTAGGAGAGGAGAATGCGTTGAAACTCCCAGTGTCCACCTTGGTCACGCGATTCCCTCGGTAGAGTTTGTTATAGAAATACAGACACACCTGAACAGGGAGAAAAAAGATATGTAATGAGTCTATAAAGACAAAAATACCTTTAGACACAACATGGAAACCTGTGAACATGGTTTCATCAGCACTCAAAGTACATCGATTCAAATATGTCAGTTTGTTCTTAGTTTTCATCTTAATGCAGTAAAATCCAATAAAATACAAGAGACACAGGTTTTACTGCACACTGGTGTTACACAGATAAACACACAGTAGATAACACTGTTCTTTCTGTTCTGTTTGTTGTTCAGTATTGCAAAACACTGTTGTAAGATACAATTCTCATCAGAAAAGTTTTTGTAGACCATGTATCTTCTTAACATGTAAACAAATTATATATATATAAAGGTTTATAATATCAAAGGATTAGTTCTTTCATTATTTCATTTATAGTTTTTTCATAATTCATTCATCAACACCATACATAATAAAAAGGCAGAATTAATGGAAAGCTTTTAAAATTAGTTACTACAAGTGAATCATCTCTATTTCCTCACCTCAGGAATGACAAACTGTCCAGCGATCAGCAGCGCCCCCAGCAGGTTGCCCCTGCCATCGTTCCTCATCTCATAGATAGGCACCTAAAGACAGAACATGCCTTATCTTAAGAAGACAGTACAGCCTTAAAATGCTACGGTAAAAGGTGTTTTTTGTGTTGTTGTCCAGCAGCTCTCACCTGTGAGCCAGTGAGAACGATTGGTTTGCCCAGATGTTCACACATGAAGGACAGGGCAGAGGCTGTGTAAGCCATAGTGTCTGTGCCATGAAGGATCACAAAGCCATCGTACATTTCATAGTTTTTCTGGAGACAGACGAGACACAAAAAAACATTATTTAAAAAAGCGCCACCATTAGTTAATTTTACTCCATTTTATGTTATATCATGTGAACAATTGATATTATCTTAGCATCATCTGAGCGCTTTCAAAAGTATACACGGTATTATTTGGAATCCAGCAGCAGATACCTCAATGTCCTTTCCAATTCTCCCCCAGTCATCTGTGGTCATATTTGAGGAGTCCAGCAAAGGGCAGTACTCTAAGACAGTGTAGATGATCCTCTTTTTATCTTTAGATAACCTGGAAGATAGATTCAGTTTTAAGTCTATGAGATTCAGTGACTGTGTACAAAACTTGTCATCTACAGAAAATAACACAGAAAGAACAAACAGTCCACATTCCGTGGTTTTAGTCATTAAGTGTTCACTCTAAACCACACAGAAGACACATGGTTAAACAAATGATTAGTATTGTCTTTATTGTGATTACTGATTATTTGTGTTCATTCATTGGGATTATTTCATAAAAGGTGCATCACGTGCTGGTTAAGCTTTTAAGAATGTTTAAAGAAGGATGGGGATACACTGAAAACTAAGCTGACTTTATGAAGTGTAACTAAGTGTATTTAGCTTTGTGTCTCAGCAGCAGGAAGCCAAAACCTGTTTCACACACACACAGAGGCATTTTAAGGAGTGTAGAAGGGAGGGGCATAACAGCTCTTTGCAGTGCAGCTTCAGAAAACACTCACATAGACAAACCAAATTGAATAAACATAAATCATGAGAACATAAGTGGTGCAAATAGTCACAATGTAACCAACACTGGATACAGTGTTTATTACATTTTTAGCTGCTAGTTTAACATCTGATAAATCCAGTGCAAGATCAAATCAGTTCTCTTTTCCCACTCCAAAAAGAGTTCAATAACATTACTAATAGTGTTATTTGGCAAAGAGAAATGTTTTATTTTAGTTTTAACTTTTAATACACAGTTTCATGTATAAGTCTCTTTAAATTTCTGTTTATCCAATTTGGAAAGTGACGTCAGCAGCGTTGCTGTGAAACCAAAGCAAAAAGCAACAGAGAGAACAGAGTTGTCCGTGTTTCTAAAACAGAGACAGGTCTCAAAGTCACTGTTCTCCTGATTCGTCTGAAAAATGCCATTTGGTCATGTGGTGTATGACAGGATTTGCTGATTGTCCCCAAAAAGGTGGCGAGCAGCAAAATTCATGTGACGCAGAAATAGGAACCGTGTCGTCTCCTCTCTCAAGTTTCTGTCTGGGGTTACTGAAATAAGAGCTAATTTTCCAACACCCGACTTCAGTCAGTCTCTTTTCTGTATTTGCATTTATTTTCTAAACTTGCAGTGTGTTGAGCTTTCAGTGCCAATGATTAAAGTATACTAATGTTTTTTGGAGCTATTGGATATTTGTGAATTATATATTAGACAACCCATTTCATATACCTTGAGGGTTATTTGGTAAATCATCTCAGATTAGGTCAAACCTTGTGTTTCTTTTTCATTCCAATTACAAGGTAGGGAACCTTGTATTAAATCGGCTCTAAGTGGAGTTTAACTCGGGCCGCCCCACCTGCGACACTGCATATAAGGCAGCTTGACTGGCTAAACAACCATGGAAAGATTTTCTTTTTTAATCTCCCTTTTTAAAGAAACAGGGTGGAACACCCCCCCGCCACATTACCATAGGGCAGCCTCATAACACTGAGATATAAGATGAATGGAACAGCAGGGGGAAGGACTGGGAGGCAAGCCCCAGTCCACCCAACCAGACACTCTTCTATTTAGCCTCAAGTCCACACACGACCCAAGAACGCATCACATTGATAATATTCAGACCAAAGTTCCCCCAGAAAACACTATTCATATTACAAATCATATATCCATGTGGTGGGGCAGCCTGAGGTGGAGCAAAGCGACGCATTTGCATATATCCATGCTAAGATGCCTAATAGCCTAAGAATAATGATTTGTGTGTGTGTGTGTGTGTGTGTGTGTGTGTGTGTGTGTGTGTGTGTGTGTGTGTGTTTAGGGACTCGAGAAGAAGATGGGTGGAGGTAGGGGGCAGGCGGCCTTGTGGCGTACCCTCGAAACATCGCATGAATAAAGCTTTTCAATAAATCAATAAACTAATTCCCTCCTCAGTAACATAAGCTTGGCAACTGCATACTATCAACAGTACCCCCATAGACAGTATACACTAATGGATGAGCACAAGAAAGCTGCTGGAGGTGTGGACAATTTGTGAGGTTGAGAGCAGTTGCACAGTCCTCTGAAATATTATTATGAGCCTCAAAAACTGCTCACAAGGCCTCAACTTCAGGTTTATGGAAAACAACTGTGTATATATCTTATCTTCACCACACACTACACTCCTCCCTGCTGCTCAAACGCCTTGCATTGCAGCAGCCTACGTGAAGGGGGGTATGGAAATTTGCGAGGGAACGTACATTTCTGGCAGACGCGGTGCCTACTATCACTAATGAAGACCCTACAGAGACTGTTGATCAGCTGGGAGCCCACTCACAAGGGGGCTTTCCGCTCACCGCTCCACAGCACATGGAGCAGACAAAAAGACAACGCAATGTTAAAAAAAAAAAAATCAAACATGCAGTAGAGCAGATTAACCAGCAGGCAAACGGTAGCGCTTTACTAAATAAACCTAAAACAAAACATCAGGCTATCCCAGCTGAGTGAACCCACCCCCATGCTAAACTTTAAAGCAGATGGCTTGTTGGTGACGGAGATGACATTCACAAGTGCAGAGTTAGACACACAGAAATACTTCAGGCTGCGCATGCCGCTCCTGTATCCTTCCTGCTATTTTCTCCTTATGCCAAAGGCCATGTTGGCATGCATTTCCTGTCAGGCGAGCACACCCTAACATTTGCGCTTAAGGACAGCACAGGCTCACACCACTCTCAGGCACAGCGCAGGCACACACAATGCTACCAATGCTACAGCACCCATGAAATGACTGTCCAGAATGAGATGTCAGCTTCCTGTTAAAGCAATAAAAGCAGTTTATAGTCATTAAACTCAGTGTTATTATTCTTATAAGGACAGTGAGTCATTTCTATTCAATCTCTGTTTCTTCAGATAGGAAATGGATCTTTCACTGATTAGTGACAATAACAAATATACTCTTGGGTACATGTAATATTCATGAAGATGCAGAGTTTATCAATTCTAAATTGATTTAGCATATAGCAACAACCCGCCTTGCATGTCTATGATTCAATTTTCATACCAATGGTCTACACATACAGTAACTTAAGTATTTCAATACAAGCTACTCACAAAAACATTAGTTGTCAAGGACAATAACATTACAATACATGAATTGCATTTCTCTTTTCATTATGAAGACAGGTAATCCTTTGCCTTCTTGATCATTTGTTGTTTTTTTTTTCTTTAAGCATATAATAAAAACAGTGATGAAATAAACTAAGAATCAACTATTGAATAGCCGTTGAAGATTTTACATTAAGTGATCATTTTCCTGTTGAATTGATTTTCATGGTCCTTTATACAACCACCAATACCTGCTGTTTCTGTGGTGTGACCTTACATGATGCTCACTTGAAGGACCATCAATAACATTCAACTGGTTTTAAATATCATGTAATATACAATGTATTTTTTACATGTACAATCAAGATGTGATACTTGAGACTATACCGTACCAGACAAGAGCAGAACATACGTTATATTAGTTCTTCAAAATATTGATTAAGCAAGGAGGGTATGTGGGTGCACTTACGGCAGGACCAGGGTGTTCTCATAGGAATAGTAGTTATACATGTCAGTCTCATCGGCATACACCGCATCATGGAGGATGGGCAGCTTGCGCAGGCTCTTTACTAGTGCATTGGCTGTTGGTGCGAGCACTGTGGGATAAAGAATCAGAAAAAGGGGATCATGATAATCATTGATCACTAGGGAGAAGAGCACAGCGAACTGACCAAACATCAGTCTAATACTGAACCCTTGTGGCACATGTAAGAAACTGCATTTTTACAGTTGTTGAAAAAATCCATTCATTCTTCTTATCTACACTGAGTTAATAGTATTTCAGCTATTGGTTAAAGGATAATTCTAATATAAATTATAAAAAGTGAATAATTATGAATACACCACTGCTGCTGCTGTGGAGGAGATATGTGAATATGTGCACTGTGAATGAAAACCCAGGAGAAATTTTGCAGTACACCCTAAATGAGAGCCAACACGTGGCGGCTGATAGCCACGTGAGCAAAAGCCCTCAAGACATCAGGAGAGCTGCCATCAGAAATCCTGGCAGAAAGATAGGAAGCTTTTGTTAGAATGAGTATATGTCAAAGGTCCAAAGTTAACTCCAACCATGACAAAGCTGAGTCAATTTCAAGATATTTAAGTGTTAAAGTGGCAGACTATACAATCATTACTGGCTAAAAAAATAATAATACAATTTACAAACACTACTTGACTGAAGTGCAGCCTTTGACAGAGTAGACCACTGAATTCTTTTAGACAGACCTCAGGCTCATTGGTCTCACTTGTCTTACCGTATAGACAGGGAATTTTCATCAGACTGTTGAATGCTCATCCAAAAGTTAAAAATACTTTGTGGTGTACCTCAGGGTTCACTACTAGGACTTTTATCCTCTACAGTCTGCCTCTTGGACACATCACCAGGAGGGACGTCATCACTTTCCATAGCACACACGCTTTACGTTGCTGTAACTTGAAGCGTCTTTCAACTGTATTTTAGACATCAAGTTATGGATAGCAGAGAATTTTATAATCCTCAATCAGGACAAAGACCTCAAAGTCAAATCAAGAAGAGACATTTTTGACTCAGATCTCAGTTTTAAACATGTATCAGAAATGTCACTAAGAATGCAGTTCAGCATCCAAAGAACATTGCCAGTGTGTGACTGTTTCTCTCTCTGAAACACTAATACATCTTTTGTATCACCTGCAGGACTGACTATTGTTATTCTCTACTTTGTGGTCTCCCTAAGAAGAATATAATTAATCTCCAGCTGCTCCTTTTTGTTTGTTTGTTTTTACTGCATTTATTCTGAAAAGCAGTTATATTTGTTAGTAAGAAAAGGGCTATCAATAAAGTCTTATCTATATGTAGATACCTCAATGTTGATGGAGTGGTGGGTGAAGTGTGCACGTTTGAAGTGGTCATCATTTACTTCAATTGTATTGGATTTGGCTGCAATACTGCTGAAACTGCAAAAGTGTTTTGTGGACTCAAACACTTCACCCTTCATAGTAGTGTTGGCATCAACTACTGATGAACAGCCTTGAAAAAGACCTGTTCCTGCTTGTACCTGCAGCTGGAAGGACATCTGAATGTTACCGTACCTAACCACATGCTCCAGATGTTGCCCAATACCTCGTGTAAACATCTAGTTATCCATTGAGAGAATAGCGTTTCTCTGAACTGCATTGTAACGGGAACTGTTTGTCCTTACCATTGTCTGCGAGGGGGTACTTTAAGGTTGTTGAGGTGGTGGTGGGTGTAAGCCCCCACAATAATCATACCCTCACACAGAAAGAAAAATATTGACTATTATGAAATATACTGTATGCATGTATGTACACAGGTATG